ATCACAACATGCCCTGCAAAAACAAGTTAGACGTCCTCTACTTTGTTATTGCAAGTTTTACGTGGCTGCTACAGGCTTAAGCAAGAACCAATTCTACCTACGCATCAAAACCACAACGATAGTTTGTCAAGTTGGTGCTGTTTTAACCTTCGCAAGGACCGGGCGTAGCCACACTCGGTTCAACTAAAATTGGAGTACCTGTCACCCGCTAGCCACCTTTGTGCAAAGCACGTCGGGAGAACCGGTCTCGCGTAAGCGTACGCGTAATGTCGGTTCGGGCCGCTTCGTCCAACAATACCGCCGAACCAAAGTATGACATGCTGGTAAGCAGTATGACTTATATCGCCCACAACTCACTTGTGTTCTACTCATGCATATAACATCAACACATAAAACCTAGGCTCTGATACCACTGTTGGGTTTCGTAGTAATTTCAAAAAATTTCCTACGCACACGCAAGATCATGGTGATGCATAGCAATGAGAGGGGGAGAGTGTGATCTACGTACCCTTGTAGATCGACAACGGAAGCGTTAACTTGGTTGATGTAGTCGTACGTCTCCACGGCCCGACCGATCAAGCACCGAAACTACGGCACCTCAGTTCTAGAACACGTTCAGCTCGATGACGATCCCCGGACTCCGATCCAGCAAAGTGTCGGGGAAGAGTTCCGTCAGCACGACGGTGTGGTGACGATCTTGATGTACTACCATCACAGGGCTTCGCCTAAGCACTGCTACAATATTATCGACGACTATGGTGGAAGGGGGCACCGCACACGGCTAAGAATATGATCACATGGATCAACTTGTGTCTCTAGGGGTGCCCCGTGCCTCCGTATATAAAGGCTCGAAGGGGGGGGCGGCCGGCCAAGAGGTGGCGCGCCAGGAGGAGTCCTACTCCCTCCGGGAGTAGGACTCCCCCCCTTTCCTAGTTGGAATAGGATTCGCGGAGGGGGGAAAAGAGGAGAGAGAGGAGGAAGGGGGGCCGGCCCCCTCTCCTTGTCCTATTCGGACCAAGGGGGAGGGGCGCGCGGCCCATCTCTGGCCACCTCTCCTCTCTTCCACTAAGGCCCACTAAGGCCCATATACCTCCCGGGGGGTTCCGGTAAAATCCCGATTTCACCCGGAACACTTCCGATATCCAAACATAGGCTTCCAATATATCAATCTTTATGTCTTGACCATTTCGAGACTCCTCGTCATGTCCGTGATCACATCCGGGACTCCGAACAAACTTCGGTACATCAAAATGCATAAACTCATAATATAACTATCATCGTAACCTTAAGCGTGCGGACCCTACGGGTTCGAGAACAATGTAGACATGACCGAGACACGTCTCCGGTCAATAACCAATAGCGGAACCTGGATGCTCATATTGACTCCTACATATTCTACGAAGATCTTTTATCAGTCAGACCGCATAACAACATACGTTGTTCCCTTTGTCATCGGTATGTTACTTGCCCGAGATTCGATCGTCGGTATCCCATACCTAGTTCAATCTCGTTACCGACAAGTCTCTTTACTCGTTCTGTAATACATCATCCCGCAACTAACTCATTAGTTGCAATGCTTGCAAGGCTTCAGTGATGTGCATTACCGAGAGGGCCCAGAGATACCTCTCCGACAATCGGAGTGACAAATCCTAATCTCGAAATACGCCAACCCAACATGTACCTTTGGAGACACCTGTAGAGCTCCTTTATAATCACCCAGTTACGTTGTGACGTTTGGTAGCACACAAAGTGTTCCTCCGGCAAACAGGAGTTGCATAATCTCATAGTCATAGGAACATGTATAAGTCATGAAGAAAGCAATAGCAACATACTAAACGATCGGGTGCTAAGCTAATGGAATGGGTCATGTCAATCAGATCATTCAACTAATGATGTGATCCCATTAATCAAATGACAACTCTTTGTCCATGGTTAGGAAACATAACCATCTTTGATTAACGAGCTAGTCAAGTAGAGGCATACTAGTGACACTCTGTTTGTCTATGTATTCACACATGTATCATGTTTCCGGTTAATACAATTCTAGCATGAATAATAAACTTTTATCATGATATAAGGAAATAAATAATAACTTTATTATTGCCTCGAGGGCATATTTCCTTCAAAAAGGCCATACTTTCAGTTCCATAACCACACAACATCGCCACCGGCGGCTTCGGCATCTTGAGAGCAGGGCAGCGCCGCACAGTCATCGGGTGATTAGTCTTGTTGCAGACGAAATAAAACTGTTGTGTCTCGCAGTCATCATTTGTGTGCCCTGCAGACTGGCACTTAGAGCACCACACCTTCTTAGGAATTGCTGCACCCTCGGATGCCCCTGAAGGTTGAATCGTAGGTGTAGGCTGTTGTTGCATTGGTCCTAGCTGCATATGCGTGTATTGGCCGTGACCCGCAACCATCATAGATGAAGGGGCCATGGAAGGCACATGTACTGGTGGCGGCATCATAGGGACCGCAGGTGGGGGAGTGGTGGATGGCAGGGCTGCTCCCTGGTGCGTCTTCTGACGGCCACCCTTGCTTCCCTTCGGCTTGCGAGGTTGTGCAGCAGTAGGGCCTCCGGTGGCAGCAGAGTTGTGTGGCGCCCTGGCGTTGAAGCTGGGAGCCATCTGCACCCCGGCGGCAGCACCATGATGCTGCACATAAGCGTTCATCGCTGGTTGAAAAGCTGCAGGCTGCTGATGTTGCTGTGTGAAGCCAGTCGTTGGTTGAAGAAGATACGGTAGCTGCGGCACGAACTAACCCGAGGTCCCAAAAAATTGCTGCTCGAACGGCTTCTGATACGCAGAGGACTGCTACACCGGCTGCGGATGCACCGGCGCAAAAGTTCCCGGTGGCGCATAGGGTTGCGCGACCTGCACCGGCTGGTAAACCCCCGACGCGAAGCCAGGAGCGCCTCCCAACGACGAAGAACTTGGATGAGAGGAGCTTGAAGACGGATTAGACTGGTGGCCGGTGGAGGTGGCCGGCGGCGCCGATGGGTCGGCACGCGTCATTGCTGGGGAGCGGACGACAGCCGTGAAGGAACAATTGAACCTAGGGTTGGCTGCCTGCTCTGCCCGGTTCCACAAGTGTCCAAGCCAACGGCTGAGATTGACCATCCGAAGCCGACGTCCAAGATTCGTCTGAACACTTGTCAGACCTGAAACGGCCGCAGATGACAGATCGAGATTTCGAACTGTGATCACCGTGGCGCCCCGCCCTGCCTGACCCGAAGAAAGCGCCGGCGAACAGAATTCCGGCGAGGCCTCCCCATCTCCGAGACACACCTGCGGCAAGAGATCGCCGAGAGTTCTTGGCGGCGATGCCCGAGGAGGCGGGAGCGGGCCGATCCAAGGCTTGATCAGCGGTCTTGACCGGACGGGCACCCCGGAGACGCCGCGGGCGGCCGCGGCAAGTATCATCGGGGACTCCTTCGGTCCTGGCACATCCACGATAGCATCCGACGTAGAGGCCACCGCAATCTCCGCCGAGTCCAGCGACGGTTCTCCGTTCTTGTCAGACATGCAAACACGAGAAACCTCACCTGTCCGTCGAGACGACGGTCTCTCCCACACCCTAGACGCCGGTGTAGGGTAACCAGTGTCCGCCCAGAACTCAGCTGCCAGTTCCTCGTTCGTCTTCCTCCGGCGAACAACCCAAGACTGCAGAGTAGAGGCGTCGACGGAGGAGTCTTGAACCGCATGCACCATCTCCTCCGCATCGGTAGAATCTAGGCAAGAGAACCGAGATCCGGAATCCGCCAGCAGCGTCGGCATGGCGCCAGGGTGAGCCGTCGCCTAGAGGCGAGCCGCATGGCTCAGCTACGTGAGGACATTGTCCCAATGTCCCTTATGGGGGAGCTTAATACTGGACGGGTTCTTGCTCCCCCCTGCATATCATACTGCTTCATATCTATCTTTATTTTCTAAGGACTTTCTATTATTGAAACTTGGACTCATATATACCGTGATGTTAATGTGTTCCACAACATGTTCTTTCATGTATCTGAATCAATATTTTCTCTCGTTGCAATGCACGGGCATATGTGCTAGTATAGCTAAAGTGAAAACATTTCCTCTCCCTAAAACACCCGCACATCACGTATATTGTTCCTTCCGGAGCGGCCGCTACAAACGATACTGCTTGGCCGTTTGCTGACCCAACTGCAACAGCATAGACGAATCGCTGCCATAGGATTTCGAGGATGAACGGCCCATATTCATCACAGGGCACCATAAAAGATCTCTTTTTAGTTTGCTCATTTGTACTACCGGTTAATCCCGGTGTAATATCAGTTGATACAACGTACGTAGGAACTGTGTGCGAGAGTGGACTGGCAAGATGCGGCAAAATCATACTATAAGGGCATGTACAATGGTGCTATCTTAGGAGTGCCACGTAGGATAAATGATGAGGTGGAGGAGAGAGAACTCATAAGAAAAAGCTTGTCTTCTCTTATTTAAGATAAAATAAGAGATGATCTCTTAGCACAATTTGTCTCACCATGTTTTAAGGAGTTGCTAGTTATTAAAAATAAGGCTAAGATATAACCCATTGTAGACATACTTTTTTGTCATCTTTAAATTACATGCAAAACTTAAGATAAGACTGTCTTATCAACCATTGTACATGCCCTAAGGTGCAGCCTGCTGGCAACAGCATACGTTGATCATTCTTTCTACGAAATTACACAACCGGCTGTGAAGAAACTGATATAGGTAAGGATCCCTTTCGATCCGCTACGTATAAACAAGAAGCATACGTTGATCATTTCCTAATTAACTGGACTTGGGCTGAACGAGCAAACGTATTATAAACAAGAAGGAATACACGTTTTATATGCCCCGTTCGTCGATCGCCATTAACGAGGAATCTACAAGAACAATGCGTGACGGTTGCTTGCGATACCTGTGCGCATGCACTGGGCTCCCTATATATGCAGCACGGCCGGTTTGTCCAGTCACCATGCAACCAATCCATCTGCTAGCTATAGCAAAGAAATGACTCGTGGGCGTGGGGTTTCCTCTCTGCTCTTATGCTGCTTGCTTCTCCTCGCTCCTCACCTCGGCAGCTCCTTCCACACCAGCCACACCCGTGCCGGAAAGCTGCTCGCCGTCCGTTCAGCTGACGGTGCATCTCCGACGACCTTCTGCTCGGACATCCCTTCAGGTGAACCCACATGCAACATTAAGCTCGCTAGTGACTTAAGTACGTAGTTAACGCGCGCAGAAGTAGTTCTTCGTTTATGCTTTGAATAACTTGCATGGGTTCGCTTAATTTCTTTCAGGAGATGGCGGCGGTGGAATTGCAGGGCGGCTGCCCGTGGTGCATCGGCAGAACCCGTGCTCTCCTCACGGCGGAGCTAAGAGACAAGGCAAGCCCTCAGAGTCAGAGTCCGCGGCCGACGTCCTCCGCCGCGACGCCCTGGGCCTCCGCTCGCTCTACGGGGACTCCGGCTCGGCGTCGGACGTGACGATCCCCAGCACCGGCAGCCCTCTCGTGGCTTACCCGGGCGCGTCCGAGTACCACGTCGTCGTCGGCTACGGCACGCCGCTGCAGAGGCTGGCCGTCGGGTTCGACACGGCCAGCACCGGAGTCTCCCTGCTCGCATGCAAGCCGTGCGCCGCCGACGGGGCGCCGTGCGACAAGGCGTTCGACCAGTCCCGGTCGTCCACGCTCGCCCAAATCCCCTGCAACTCGCTGGACTGCCCGCTCAGCGCTTGCTCCGGGCCCAGCTGCACCTTCTCCGTCAGCAAGAACGACACCGTGGTGCTCAACGGCACGGTCGTCACGGACACGCTCGCGCTCTCCGGGTCGACCACCATGCAGGGCTTCAGGTTCGCGTGCCTGGAGACGGGCTACGCCGGAAGCTCCAGAACTGTGGACGACACCCCCTCCGGCGTCCTCGACCTCAGCCGGGACGTCCACTCCCTGGCGTCGCGGGCGCCTTTCTCCCCGGACACGGTGGCCTTCTCGTACTGCCTGCCGCCGGACACGACCTCCCACGGCTTCCTCTCCATCGCCGCCGCCCGGCCGGAGCTCTCGGGCCGCTTCGTGTGCTACGCCACCCTGCGGACCAACCCCAACCGCCCCAACCTGTACTTGGTCCAGCTCACCGCGATAAGCGTCGGCGGGAAGGACATCCCGGTCCCGGCCGCGGGGCTCGCCGGCGACTCGCTGATCGCGCTCCGCACCACCTTCACCTACCTGAGGCCGGACGTCTACGCGGCCCTCCGCGACGCGTTCGTCGGGCAGATGGGCCGGTACCGCCACCGCCGCGCGCCGCCGGTGGGGGAGCTGGACACGTGCTACGACTTCGCCGGCCTGCGCTCGGTTCTGCTGCCGGCGATCGCGCTCCAGTTCGACGGCGGGGCGAGCATGTACCTTGACATCGAGCACGTGTTCTACCTCGAGGAACGCCACAACATCTTTGCCGTGGCGTGCCTCGCGTTCGCCGCGGCGACAGCCTACCCTGTAGGGTCCGAGGTGCCCGTCGCCGTTATCGGGACGTTGGCGCAGGCGGCAACCGAGGTGGCGTACGACTTGCACGGCGGGAAGGTCGGGTTCGTCCGCGGCAGCTGCTGATAATATCACACGAAAACCAACATTCAACATTCAGTGGATCAGCGAGCACGACGGTGGCACTCATCATATGTTCTTTGTACTCCCTTCGTCCGGAAATACTTGTACTTACAAATAATTGAAAATGAATGTATCTATAACTAAAATAAATCTACATACAACCATTTTTAGGACAAGTATTTTCGGACGGAGGAAATATTATCTTATTTTGAAACAATGCATAGCATGTACGTGTCGAGTGAAATAAAAGTATGGTTTTGCTAACTGTGAGGTGGCCAATAAAAGTTCTAGCGTCCATCGATTTTCTCCTTCCCAAAAGGCCGAATATAGGTGAGATGTGAGGAGAGCAGCGACGAGCATCGACCACGACGAGGCGAGCCAGGACCTTGCCGGAGGCAAGGACGACGCTGGAAGCAATCGCGAGCTACGACATCCCAGTCAGATGTGAGGAAATAGGTTAATGGGTGCAGGTGTGGAGACGCCACAACATGAGGTCGGAGAGAGGAGGGCTTAGAGGGATGGCCGCTACAGTGGCGAGCATGACGATTGGGGGTGGGAGTGGGGAGGGGAGGGTGAGACGGTCGTAGGAGTGTCGTCAATTAGACCTGGGCTTGGAGGCGGTACAAAAGTAAGAAACTAACTTGGGTTATGCAATCCTCGCATTTGAGTGATGATCACATAGCCCAAAAAATTGATCGGATGGTCACATAAAAATGCGATTGACTATTTTTTAGAAAAACAGGGAGACTCTCCCTGGCTTCGTTACCCGAATGAAACATGAGTGACTATTTCTATGTTGAGTTAAAATAAATTGGCCCCAATTTCCGTTTAATTTCACCAACGTTTTGACTGACCGTCTTCCTTGTCAGCCCATTTTCTTCCTCCTACACATGTATCACCGGCCAAACAGTCGACAACCTTTTTCTTAGAATCCGACAGCCTATTTTGAAATTATGGATGTTTTATCCGGTGCAACATATTTTCTTGTCTGCAACTAAGAATTAGCAAAATCTTGGACACGATATTTCTTAGTTCGGGTCAAAATGGGCATGGATGAACAGTGAAGTCCAGAAAATAATAATCAAGAAATCTGCTCTTTAGAAACATTGGCACATATTTTTAGTGCTTGTTAAGTTTCATCATTAAATTACATCTAGTGGCAAGAAAAAAACAAAATTGATGCAAAGATGCTATTCTTAAAAGTATATTGGATTGTTGATTTTTTTCACAACTTGCACAAATGTCATTTCATAATGAAAATTTGCAAGCACTCGAAATATATGTAAAAAAATCATCTTGTTATTATTATTTTTGAATTTTATTGTTGACCACGAGCTCATTTGAGCTCATGACTTCCGCATAATCTTTAGCTTTTCTGTGTCTCTTGTAATTTATTATCATCCATGCTACGGGAACAAGTATTGACAAACCAGAAACCACGGCGCTTTTCTATGAACCAAAAGAAAGTGTTGTTGCTTGGTTGGAGATGGAGTTTGTTTTTCATTCAAACCATTTGAATCGAAAACCTCTGAGCTAAGTACGTTTAGCATCGTTGGTGCACGTGTGAATGTGTGTCTCCGATGGATTTGTCTTTGGTGGATCTGCTCAGATCTGATCATCGTCCGTCTATGTTCGTGTGCCTTCGGGTTGGGTCCTTTCGATCTACGCTACTCTTCATCGGCGGCAATCGCTGTTCTGGTGCGTCGGTCCTATGTGACCCTATGGCGACTTACCGACTGTCTACTACAACAAGTTTTGTCTGGCTCCAGCAAAAGAGGGACGATGACGGTGGCGCACCTTGGGCTCTCTTATGTGCTCATAGTCATCGTTAGACGGTCTATGAATCTGGATATGATTTTTATTGTTTTCTATGTTTGTTGTCGTGGTTGAAGATGTATAGATCAGAGGTTTTTCAAAAAAAAAAAAAGTGTCCTGATGGCACGATGAGACGACATGTGCAAGCCACTCAAAGCTCATGGCGACGGGGAGATCGTGGGCACAAGGAGAACTTACCTGCCAGCGTCGGCATATAGGCTCGCCAACTTTTGGAGAAGTCAACGTACAGGCGGAAACACAAGGGATTTGGTTCGTTTGCCCTTGATTTTCCTCCCTTTCTATACACACAAGAGGATCCACGCAAATCCGGTGATCACACTGAAAATCTCCTCGCCGCCGTGGAACCTCGGGCATAGTCGACCCCCCTCGCCGCCGTGATCACAGCCGAGTCGATCACAGCCGGTGCCGCGGCCGCTGGAGACGTGCTCCTTGCCGCTGCGTCTCAGGCACCGTGCCTCGTCGCGTCCGGTCACGATGATGCGCGCCTCGCCGGCACGGCCGATCACATGCGGTCACCTGACCGTCGCCGAACACCGCCGCTCGGTCGGGAGGTTGGACACACGGCGAGGTTTCTACCAACCGCGCGGAAAGGATAAGAAGTCGTCGCGCCAACTGCACGGCGCCCACACGGCCCACCCTTCCCGGCCCCATCCCCTCCACACGTCACCGAATCCAACGGACGTACGCAACCCGACGGCCATGGCGTCCTCCGCCGCCGCAGCCGTCCCCGAGTCTGACCGCGCCGCCCTCGTCAAGGCCTTCGACGAGTCCCGCACCGGCGTCCGCGGCCTCGTCGAGTCCGGCGTCTCCACCGTCCCCGACCTCTTCGTCCACCCCGACCCCTACGCCTCCGTCCCGCTCGCTCCCCCCGGCGTCTCCATCCCCGTCGTCGACCTCTCCCTCCCCGCGCCCGTCGCCGCCGCTGCCGCCGCGGCGGCCGCCCGTGACTGGGGCTTCTTCCACCTCGTCAACTACGAGGCCCTCGTCCCCGCCGACTACCCCGCGAGGGCCCTCGCCGCGGTGCGCGCCTTCAACGAGCTCCCCGCCCCCGAGCGCTCCGCGCACTACGGCCGGGCCATGGGCGGCGGGGTCTCCTACTCCTCCAACGTGGACCTGTACCGCTCCGCCGCCGCGAGCTGGCGCGACACCATCCAGGTGGGGTTCGGGCCTACGCGGCCCGACACGGAGCGCATCCCGCCGGTGTGCCGCTCGGAGATCCTCGAGTGGGAAGCGCACACCACCGCGGTGGCCCGCGCAGTGATGGCGCTGCTTTCCCAGGGGCTCGGGCTCAGCGAGGCGGCTCTGGAAGAGGCCTCGTGCCTGGAGGGGAAGGTCATGGTCTGCCATTACTACCCGGTGTGCCCGGAGCCTGAGCGCACCATGGGATTAGTCCCGCACACCGACCCCGGCGTGCTCACAGTCCTTGCACAGGATGGCGTAGGTGGCCTGCAGGTGAAGCACACCAACGAGGACGGGGAGAGCTACTGGGTTGACGCGAAGCCTGTACCCGGCGCGCTTGTGATCAATGTTGGAGACCTCTTGCAGGTAAAATACACTCTGTCAATGCCCAAATTCTGGCAACTGCATGCAGTTCCAAATACAGTCTGTAACAACTCGCTTCAAGTTATATCTGAATTATCTAAGCATGCCTGCTGCCAATTCAGCTCAAACCAGATGACTTAGGAACAGTGAACATGTTCTAAATACTTCCATTTGTGCACTAATTGACTTTATGAAGTGAGAATTTGTGTGCTTAAAACTTTGAACCCAAGAACACATTTACTCTCATGATGGAAGAATGTAAACTACAGTAGAAAATACAAATGATAATAATTTGTGACTGGATAACCCCATGAACCGTTTGTAGATGCTTTGAACTCACATTTGGTGTTATTTTATTTGCACGTTGTGCGCCACCTGAAGTGTAGAAAATATGAAATGTGATTTTCTACCCGGTTGATTCATAAAATCGATCAAGTGGAGTGTCAAGTGTGTTCAGTAGCTGCAAGTTATTTTATCTCCAAAGTCTTGTTTGGCAAACAAGAGGGGTTATAACTCAAGATATCCTTCTTATTCCAACTTAGATCACCCTCTGATTATTTGTAAAAACTGCTGATTCATCAAAAAAAGATTACCGTCAGATTCTTTTATGATATGTTGGCGACAAACCAGACACTCAAGCAACGGTGCTTTAGTGAACCCTGCAACTGCAAGTACCCATAAAGGATACCACTAGAAATTGTGAATAGCTATCCCACTTAATTATCCAATCAGTGAATCACTAGTCCGGATTGAAGTCGTATAACTGACACAGATATGTACGAACTGCAGAAAGGCAGTCCATTTTACTCTGTAGCAACATGTTCTAACTTCCAACATTCTACTCCCTCTGTAAAATTTAGGCGTACTTTGACTACTCGAGTCCATGCTTTGACCAAGAATCAATCCAGTAAAACTTATTGTGTTATACACATAAGATACTACTCATTCTGTCTTCCAAATCAATTTCTTCTGATTGTAAGTTTGTAACTATGAACAAAATGTTGTAAAGCAATTTACGGTCTAAGCTCATATTTGACAGTCAAAATATGCCATACATTTGCAATGGACGGACTATCTATTTCTTTGGGTACACATTCCTATTAAAATACATAAGCTGCTGGTGGTTTCAAGAACGTGTGGTAGAAACGATTTCTCTATGGTAATAACTAATCAGTATAACCAGCAAAAATATCATTGAAGAGAGATAACTGGAACTGGATGTGGGTAATATGCTGATCACAAGGTAAAGGCCCAGAGAACTAGCAATGTATACTGTAAGAAATAAACTGACTCCACAGAGAACTAGCAATAGATATACGAAATAGCAACTCCACCAAGCAAATATCTTTGTAGAGCTATTGAAGAATCAAGACACAAATTTGTGCAGTTAATGATTTGGAGAAAATGTAATAGGTTTCATGGCAATTTATTTGTCGATAACGAGATGCATATCCATTGAGCAATATGGAAGCCTCTCTTCTCCCTGTGGTCTTGTCAACTTGTTTTCCTATTTTCTCACTTGCCTTTTGCTCCCTAGATCTTCCCACCATTATCTAGTACTTATATCCAGAACCTATAGGGTTTTCTTTTCTCGAACACAGAACCTAGAGGGCTTGAGGAATTTGAAGAACTATGACTAGCAAAGACGTGTTCCTATGCATTAAAGCACTGCTGTCTCTAGAATGTGCACTTGGCCAGCAGCTAGACAGATTTTCTTTTCTTGTTGAGTGATGTTTGAAGCATTAAACTTGCATCACAACTGTGAAGTCCCATGATGGCCAGGCCATCAGAGGAAGAGAAGTTGAACCATGATACAGGTGGTGCCCCAGAACACACCTACACACAGGTGCATACAGGAGGAAAACGCTTGGTAGTGCCCACCTCTTTTGAAAACTGGAAACCTGATAGTTTCAACTTTGAAACTTTACAGCTCAACGCAATTCAACTTACTTGAGTTGGACATGTTGTTGTATTAGTAGTAGGTAGTTAGTGACAATAGTCAATATATTGGAAATTAATATTCCCTCTGATCCAAATTACTTGTCGCAGCTTTAGTACAATTTTATACTAAAGTTGTACTGAACCTGCGACAAGTAATATGGATCAGAGGGAGTACCAGAAATATAAGTCCCATGGGTAACATGGTTGATGAACAAAGCTGGCGCTGAAGATTATTGCTGTGTGGATTACATTTTCATCTACTCCCTCGGATCCAAATTAATTGATGCAGCCTCCAAATTAATTGACGCAGCCTCTATATATACTCCCTTGGATCGGAGGCTGCATCAATTAATTCGGATCCGAGGGAGTATCTCTTTTTTTAAAGGGAAATCCTCGGTCTCATAGTTTTAATCATTAAAAAGAGACACTATTACATAGAAACGAAACTATTCACTAAAACAGAGCGTAATCTCATGGTTATCCCAAATTCTCATAAGACTATTCAAGAGCTTGATGAAATATTAATCAGCTTGTTGTTATTGAATTGGTTATCTAGACACTTAAAGTACTGGTCCACAGTGCAGTTTTGAGGAGCAGTTTCATAATGCCATCATCTCATGCGCATCTAATCTGTTTTTTTACCCTATTCTTTCTTCAGATAATGTCGAACGATAAATACACGAGCGTCGACCACAGGGTGGTGATGAATTCGCGTGAAGAAGCCAGAGTTTCGATCGCCGTCTTCTTCAATCCTGGGAAGCGAGGGGATTCTGTTTTTTATGGACCGCTGCCAGAGCTCGTTTCTTCAGAAAACCCAGCAAAGTACAGGAGTTTCACGATGTCTGAGTTTTTCGGGGCCTTCTTCAAACGAGACCTTGCTAGCAAAGCTCTACTTGACAACTTCAAATTGTAAGATGGTTCAAGCGTCACCATACAATGTTTAAACCTGTGTACATGCCAGTATGTAACCATCTCAGCGCAAACGTCGTCCTGTGAGAGTGAAATGCAATTATTCTACCTCATGTGGTTTCTCCATAGTGCCTCCCAACATAAAGCTAGTATTTTTTCCACCGTGTAATCATCATATTCTTGTTGTCTCAGTGGGCTGTCTTATGGAGCTGAGTGTGGCCTCAAGGCTGTTAGTCTTCACACATCGTTGAACACATTGTTTTTTCCTGTAAAGTTTTCATATTGTTTTAGGCATGTACTCTCTCTAAAGAAATATAAGACAGTTTAGATGTAGTGATCTAAACGGTCTTATATTTCTTTACAGAGAGAGTAACTATCAAGTGGGCCAAAATGCATATGACTGGATGTATGATGTAATTCTTTCTGCAACCATCATTGCTTGACCTGCTGGCTTGAGCATTCAGGCACTCGTTACTCATTAGCCGTTGGAAGTTGTATTTCTTGCGCCTCCGGTTGGAATTCTCTGTCTTTCACAATCTGATGTTGACTGAAAGATTTTGTGGTGCCATCATTTGTGCCTTGGGAAGGGGAGCCTTGGCGCAGTGGTAAAGCTGCTACCTTGTGACCATGAGGTCACGGGTTTAAGGACGTGTTTGGATTTCACCCTGGAGTAAAAATGTCTGGCCTGAAGTATGCCTGGAAGCTGCCTGTATCCTGTTTGGTTGATTACCTGGTAAGTCCCCACGTAGCCTGGCCTGGACCAAGTATAGGTGCGCTTAGTCTGGCCAGCCTTCCAGGCACACGGTTAGACTAGCCACAATGGGAGTAACTTCAGCAGTAACATCAAGTCCAACTCAACAAATTTGCTTATGTGGCTAGCCATAAAGGGAGTAATTTCAGCAGTAACATCAAGTCCAACTCAGCAAATTTGCTTATGTGGCAATGAGTTAATGAGGAGAGAGGTAGTTGTAGTAACTTAGCTAGTTACTGTAACATCACATGTTCCAATGCAATATGAGTCTATAACCTAATAAATGAATCCTTGCATATTACCACACTTAAGTTACTACCCACTATGAAGGTAGTAATATAGTCTAGGGATACGTGTATGTTACTAGTATATATTACTCTTCATTATGGCTAGTCTTAGCCTGAGCCAGGCTACCCAGATCCAATGCATGGCAACGACAATCGAGGTGCCTGGCAACCAAAAGCTAGCAGTCCGTACTAATTAAAGAGTGCAGCAGCTTCCACACAAATCTAAGGGGTTGTTCGGTTTGTGACTAACTTTGCCAAAGGTTACCACACTTAAGGTTAGGCAAGTTTGACTAACTTAGGTGAGTGTTTGGTTCAAGTCACACCTTAGGCAAGCCGCACTTGAGCCCCAGATGGCATACACACAAAAAGTGTGGTAAGATTCCCTTAGGCTTGCCAACTTGTAGCTCTCATTTTGATGAACTAAGCTTAGGCAAGGTTGGCAAAAATATATGGCAAAGTGTGGCAATGCTAGGCCTAGAACCAAACAACCCTTAATACTCGTCCAGGCCAAGGAAGCAAACCAAACATCACCTAGCCCAGGCAGCCTGGCCAGGCAAAAATCTTCCATTTTCCAGGCACAAACCAGGCATGCATTTTTCTTAGGCATAGAGCCCAGGTCGCCAACCAAACAGCCTCTGAGTCCTAGAAACAACCTCTTACAGAAATATAGGGAAAGACTACGTACAATAGATTCAAAGTGGTTGGACTCTTCCCCGGACCTTGCGCAAGCGGGAGCTACATGCACCGGGCTGCTCATCATTTGTACCTTGATTCTACTTCCTCTGAATCTCCTTTCCGCTGGCTGTTGAATTGTTGACAGCGTTAGGCTGGTCATAGTGGGGAGTAACTTAGACTAGTGTCATATGCATGACACTAGTCTAAGTTACTACCCCCATAATGCAAAGTATCTTAATAGTAGTGTCATAGTTTGTTTCATTTATTGCCTTATAGACTTATTTTACCTCGGAAAGCGCTATGTTACAGTAACATATTAGGCTGGTCATAGTGGGAGTAACATAGGTAGTAACATAGATGCCACATAAGCAAAAATAATGATGTGGCAAGTAGTTAATGAGGAGAGAGGCAAATAGAGTAACATAATATGTTACCATCACATAGCGGTTTCCAATGCATAATGAATCTACAAAGTAATAAATGAAGGCAACTATGTTACCACATCTATGACACTACCCACTATGAAGGTAGTAACATAGACTAGTAACATATGTATGTTACTAGTCTAAGGCTGGTCATAGTGGAGAGTAACTTAGACTAGTAACATACATATGTTACTAGTCTATGTTACTACCTTCATAGTGGGTAGTGTCATAGGTGTGGTAACATAGTTGCCTTCATTTATTACTTTGTAGACTCATTATGCATTGGAAACCGCTATGTGATGGTAACATATTATGTTACTCTATTTGCCTCTCTCCTCATTAACTACTTGCCACATCACCAATTTTGCTTATGTGGCATCTATGTTACTACCTATGTTACTCCCACTATGACCAGCCTAAGTTACTCCCCACTATGACCAGCCTTATAGTGTGGCGCCTTCACACTGCTTTCATCACATCTGCCAGGTGGAGGAAGGTACGAGTGGTCCAGGAGAGTCGACAGGACACCACCTTGCAAGCACGCGCTTCCCCAGCACGAAAACACCACCTTGCAAGCACGCGCTTCCCCAGCATGAAAACAGGGTGCACTCACGCACACATGGCCCATCCCTAGGTCATGCGCAGACGCGCAGTTTTGATTTTTCAAGGAGCAGAATACCAACTGTTCTACAGTACTTAGTATTCTTCAACTTTAATTATGAAATGCATCACATTTTTGTTTCGACTGATTTTATTATGGCATTATAAGGTGCCCAGATGGAAGGGCGTGCAAAGGGCACGCTGTGGGTAGTGCTCCGCCACGAACTGTGCAGCTTCAAGGTTCTGCTTGCTGTTCAGGCTTTGAAGTTGAAGCGCACACGCTAGCTGCATGTGAGGCTGGTAAGCATGGACAGATCTGTGATTGCTACTGACGCTGTGCATGTATAAATAGCTCAGTCAACTGAGCTCGTGAGTTGTCCTGACTTTCCACTCTCGACGATAACCAAGCACTATGATATGATAACTACATAATCACGATTCTTTTCTGTTCCCGTTTGACTTGCAGCTTGAGCATAGCGTGCAGATAATATGTACATAAGTTATCTGCAGGAGAGAAGTCTGATTTAAACCCTGAGGTTGTAGAGCTTGTCGAAAATAAACCCTCACCTTTGAATCCCTGAAGTCCGTACCCTGTACTCTCTAATCCCGGTCGTTTTTAACCTTGCGGTCACATTCAAACAGGGATTTCGTATTTGGCATCGGGAATAGCCGGGATCGTTGGGTTAGGCAGCACATGTGTTGAAGTGAGGAACGTGCGCACCAACCTAGCTAACGAGCTTTCGTCTCAAGTGAACAGAGATAGCTCTTCTATAGGAAACACACACAAGAAAAAGCATCGTCCACGGGTTTGCTTCAGTCTGATCTGCTGCGGCATGAAGGCATCGTAGGAAGAATACAAGGCGCCGAATAGCTGCACCAGGGGTAGCGAGGAAGGAAGAAGGTGCCTGGCGCAGCTTCGATGGCTGCAGCGCTGCGGCCGCCTCGCGCGCTCACAGATGTGCTATGGCCAATGAGTGTGCTGTAGTATGGAGAGTTGGAGATCCACCCAGCGACGTGCGTTGCGTACATGATGCAGTCATGCAGAAGAAGAAGTAGGTGGAGGGCAGCGCGGAAGCCCCGGCGGAGAGGTATGCTCGCTCGCCGGTGGCCAAGCCGACGTTGTACGTGGCTGAGCTGACGTCCATGGAGTCCTTCACGTCCCCAACAACGGTGAGGGACGGCGTGACGTGATGGCCAGTAGGCGCGCGACAGCCCCGGCGATGCATGAGCATGAGCCGGCGAGACGGCTGTCAGCTCGCCAGTGTATGTGAAGCCATGTACAAACAGTCGGAAGTCGGCGAGCAAAACGATGTTGCCAGCAGTGCACACGTAGGTACGCAATCCTCAGGTGCGTGTGCAAGTACGCGTACACACGTATCTTATTTTGCGCTGCTCGTACATGCATACCCTTGTGTCCAAGTAGCTAGCGCTGCGTATGATCGACCGGCGCCCCTGTGCCAAAAAAAAAAAGAAAAAAAAAGAGAGAACCGGAAAGAACGACCAACCGACGCGGTATATACTCACGCTGCCACGCACTAAGACATGCATGCATGCACTCGTTTAAACAAAAAAGTCAGCAAACCCGGTCTTTCCCTGCCATGTCATTAAACCCCCTCTTAAAGAAGCATCAAGGTTAAAAACGACTGGGATTAAAGAATACAGGGTACAGACTTCGAGGATTTGAAGGTGAGGGTTCATTTTCAACAAGCTCTACAACCTTAAGGTTTAAATCAGACTTCGCTCTTATCTGCAGCTACCAAGGATCGATCGGAACACGGAAAGTTGGGAGCAGTGTGAATGAAGGGAGAATGCTCTATTTTTCTTAAAGAAATGAGTATGAGATGATGTCCTCTGATTCGGAACAAAAGCAACGGGAGTTCAGATTGATATAGATATCGATGAAGGAAGTTAAATTCCTGAAGACCTGAACGCATGCAGCGACGCATCATCATATGCTCCTATATTATTATTTGCAACATGCAGTTTAGAGTGCGGTGCAAGTGCAATCTTGGCACGTCAGACCGATCGACTAGCTTGCAATTGCATGCATAGGGAAACCAGACGTGCACGGCCACTGAATCGGCCGATTTAGTTTGGCGTGAAGGAACCGGCTTTACCGCCGCAACACGCAGCCCCAGCTCCTTGCCTGGCTAACAAAAATGTCGAATCCGATGATCAGTTGAGTTCCCCTGTGCTTAATCTGGGAACTGCAGGCGAGTGAGACCACCTCTCTCTCTATCGCGCACACGTAGTACGTGGGTACATG